ACGTTTACGTTACGTTACGTTACGTTACGTTACTTACGTTACTTACGTACGTACTACTCTCTCTCTCTCTCTCTCTCTCGTCTACGTACGTACGTACGTACGTACGTACGTACGTACGTACGTACGTACGTACGTACGTACGTCGTCGTCGTCTCTCTCTCTCTCTCTCTCTCTCTCTCTCTCTCTCTCTCTCTCTCTCTCTCTCTCTCTCTCTCTCTCTGCTTCTTTGGATCTCATGTTCGTTATGTGTTGGTAAAGTTCTTGACTTTTTTTCAATGGTTGCTCTTTGACACTAGGAGTACTTAAAAACTTTGCATAGTTGCTGGGTTCTTAGCGTTCATGGGATTTTAGTAGGAATTTTCTGAGCTTGTTTATGTTCTTGTCGCAAGCCCGAGAACTATGTCGAAGTGGTGGTGAATTTCCTTGAATTATGGATTTCTTGAGGTGGCCTTAAAGACTTTTTCAAGGTCTGCACTTTGTAGCGTCGGAATTTCTGTTACTTCCCATGGAGAACAATAGCTGGGATGTGCTTGTACAGAGGTTCAAGAAAATGAGTGCATTTATCATGTTCAATTAGGGTTTGAGCTCTGCTAATTCTTATATTTTTGTTTCTTGAGACAAGTTAACTTTCCTATTCTTAAATTCCTTAAACCGGTTGCTTTCCATTGTGCCATGAATTCCATGAGAGCTACCATCGAAGTTAAGTTTCAGTGTTCAATTGCAGCTAGCTTCTCTGAGCTTTTGTCTGGATGTCATCAACTGTGGATGAAATTCCATTCTGTAACTCATGTTCTCAAATCAAGTCATCCTCTTTGGTGTCATCGAATTCTTCCTTGAGCACTCTAGATGGCTTGCAGTACTTGTCACTGAGCAGCTCTTACCCCTGCAACGACATTACTATCTTCTTGTAGCTCTAGATATCCTTCTCTTGTAATTGTATATCCTACCATCCTTATATGAAAATGGATATCCTCCAATCTCTCCTTGCACATTGACTCGGACATTTTTTCTTCTGTCCAATACTTGTAACCAAATAACCAGTCTCCACAACATCTTCCATTTCATGGGTTTTGACCACCTCTTTTAGCTTAACTCCTGGATCAAGAGACCCTTTTGCATATAGTAGTGTTTAAAACCACGGACTCATGCTAAGACTCGCCAGGGTCCCAATCCTAAGTCACCTGGTCTGAGTCAGGCAAGTCCCGAGCTGGACTGATCATTTTTAAAGCATTAAAGCTAGGGTTTCGGGGGACCTTGGGGGTGATTCCAAGGATTTCCTCTGTTCCACCCAGGCGGCAATCTTCTAAACACTGGCCTGTAGCACATAGCCAGGACTAATAGCAAAGTGGACTAGGAAGCTTGACGTGAAGTCCTTCATGTACAAGCTGGCTGAATTTCTAGCTTCGCAATCTGAAGGGTTCCATCCTTGCTTGGGACCTCATTTGGTGGAAGAGAACAAGTTTTGCATGTTGTCTTGTAGTTTATTGCTTCATTGTAGTATTATCTTCCTAAATTCCTGAATTTTCCTTGTTTTTCAGTTCCGTAAATTGGATTATGGCGGCAAATAGCTTGCACTCAATTGTGCACATAGTTGAGAATGTCGTATTTGAAAAGCCATGTGATGCACGTCACCCAATTCATTGCATTAGGCGAAGCCGGGACTTTCTAAAACCAATTTCTGGAATGCTTGCCACAACGCTTGGTCTAACTCCAGCATGTGTGTCTTGTGAGAGGTAAATCTCCTTTGGTAACTAAGCTTTAAAGTTTTAAGCCTTTCACTGGCTTCCTCATGGTCATCTTTTAATTGGATAATGAATGGTTGAGTAAAAGTCTATTGACGCCAAAATGATGCAGCAGACAGGTTGCTGTATAAACCATCATCCTCCAAGGGGAAGATCTTTGCCCTAAATTTCATCCACAGAATTGTGCCTATGTGCCTACCTATACTTATCTATTCACAAAAAGATTATGAAAAGCCTCAAACACTGAATCACTGGGTGTGATCAATTCTGCCCAGATGAACACCTTGAAATTACATTGAATGTATTGTTTGGATTAGCCTGACTATGTGAGTTTACAGGTTTAAGATGATGATTGTTTTCTCTTGTAATTTTGAAATGATGAATCCATCATGTCTTAAGTTATTTTAGTTCTCTTTGGTCTTTTCTTCTTCTTTTTTTTGTTTTTCTTTTTTCTTTCTTTTTTTTTGTGTTTAGTGTTTCCTTTGGTCATTATACAATTAGGAGAAGCTTTCCCCACATGACACTAACGTTGATGTAGCTTAAACCGGTGGTTTTGCAGGTTCAAAATGATGAATGCATCATATCTGAAGTTGTCTTATTTTCCTTTTGTTATAAAAATTGAAGATAGGAAACCATGCCCATCATTTTGATCTAATAAAACTCTCAAATAATAATTTTTTTGTGGTGTTGAGTTCTACGTCTGTTTCGATCGTCATAGCCTTCAATAAAAAGACTATGATGGTTTTGAGTTCTACACGAATCATGGTCTTCCATTTTGCTCTATTGAGGGCCATACCTTTGGTAATGGTTTTTTTTATGTATGTCTTTTTTAACTCTGTCTGAAAATAAAGATCCGATGAAATTCAGGTTATTAGCTGTAGGACTCTTCCATACCATGCTTGAATAAATTTGGATGCATAATGCATTTCAAACATTCACAATACAAAAAGGCATTTTGAACCAGTCAAAACCAGATGGGGAATGTTATTTACTTGCTCACCCTTTTAGTTACAAGCTCACCTCTGCGGGAGTGTGCACGAACTACTGTGGTGTTTGTGTGTGGGCACATCCATTCATGGGTTTTTATGCATGTGATTGTCTCGTCTGTGTTGTGTACTTATTCTTTTTATTGAAGTTTGAAACTCTATTGATGGGTTTCTGTGCTTGCAACTGTATCTATGGCATTCTTGCCTCTCTCTCTCTCTCTCTCTCTCTC